GGAGTCTTTTCTCCTGACCAATTATCGGTCATTGCTGGGAATTGACAGCAGTTTAGGCCATTGAAAAGTGGGATCAACTTGTGAACCCTACCTTAAAATGTAAAAGCAGAGCTCTCTGGGTTCTCTTTGTTTCCTGGCTGTGAAGAGTGGCAGAGCTCCAGGCCTCCCGTCCCTGCCCAGGCCATGCGGCCGGACGGGGATGGGGCCGGGCCTGCCCTGTCTCCCGGCCGGGAGATGGGGGGGCCTGGGGAAGGTTTTCCTCGGGCCCGGGCCGGGCCGAGCCGATCTCTGGCTCGGCTGCAGGTTTTGCTGTAACTACATTCACTAGAAACTGCCCAGTGAAGAAAGAGAGAGGCCCTGGACTTGCAGCGGGTTGGAGCAGCGACTACACGCTCCAGAGCAGCCATGAGGAACTTTCCATCGCAGACGGCTCCAGCTCCTGTTCGGCAGAGATCTCCGAACCATCTACAAAAGCCTGGGCAAGATTTTAACTCTTTCATTACCCAGATGAGACTTGCGGATTAATCTTTTTATCCAGAGAGAGAAAAGGAGAGTGATCAACATGAAAAGAGACTTTATAAACTACCAGTGACAGGAGAGAAAAGAAGCTTCAGGAAAGGTAGAGAATTAAGAAGATGCTTTAATTAAGCTGAAATATCTCCCTGTTAAAACTATGGAGATAGACAATGAAGTCTTGAAAAGAACTCCTTTAATTCATGATATAAGATCTAGAGAGGAATAGTGTTCAAAGTGTAAATTTGAGTAAAGAGTAATTATAGTATAGTGAAGTGCTAGGAGATTAAAAGCCTTGAGAGGCCATGAGAAAACTGTTGGGAGATTTGAAGCCCTGAGAGGCCATGAGAAAACTGTTTTCTGGTGAAGCTCACAGAAACAGATGAAGAAGACTTTTTTTGCCTTTGAATAACTTATCCTTAAAAATGCTATCTCTAGACTCATGACCCATACATACTTCAGAGTGATGTGAAAATGGGAGGAGTGAACTCTAATAATAGCAGCTCTGAGCAGCTAACATTAGGGCAATAGAAAACTATAACAAAAATAGTTTTCTTGTGAAAAACTCCATAAATTAACAGGAAGAAACTTCTGTTTCTCTATAAAGACTGGTGAAAAAACTAGCAAGAATTGGGACTGTTTTAACCATCAGAGTTCCAGAGTTTTTGTCTCTGTTGTCATGTGAACAAGGAAATAGTAGGTAGATAGGGGATGGAAAGGTTTTTCTAGAAGTTTATTCTGGTGTTCTTATTATTGTAGTTGGTCAATAAACTTTCTTTGTTTTTTCCCTTTTAAGTTGTATGCCTCTTTTGCTCTTATTCTTCTAATCCATACCTCACAGCAAGAAGTAAGTAATTTTCTTAGTTAGTAGTTTAAAACCACGACAATTTTTCAAATTAATACAAATATACTTTGTTCAAATTCATCTGGTTTTTTTTGGGTTTTGGGTTGGGGTTTTTTTGGTTGTTTTTTTTGTTCGGTTGGGTTTTTTTTTTATCAGCCCAGAAACTGCAAAGAGCTAAAGTGTTTGTATGCAATTTTGTTGCAGAAATATCTGAGCTTGTTGGTGATTCTTGTCCAGAAAGAGCTAAGGTGCGGCCAGTGCCCAGCCTAACTGGAAAAGAACTTCTTAAATGGTATAATTTTAAAACAAGATTCCCAAAAATCCTGGTGTAAAAAACCAAATTAATCTTTAAACTGTAACTTCTCAACAATAACATTTCAGTAGATTCACATTCTGTAATCAATATATCAATACTTTTTTGTTTGTCACTCCCAGGGAAAAGGGGGAGTGAAGGCAAACCGCCGTTGCCTTGGCGGAGCCGCTCTGCGGGAGCGGGAGAGCTGCCCATCTTCCCTGCCGTGCTGTGTGCTAACAGCACAGTGGCGGCAGCCGCGCGGCGGGAGGGACAGAGGGGGAAGGGGAGCCTGGACCGAGAAACCCAAGCCGTGGCTTCTCAAGCCCCGCCCGGCCGCCGTCTAGGCCCCCCGGCACCGGAGCAGGGGGAAAAGGCGGAGGGGCTTCCACCCGCAGCCGCAGGGAGAGCACACGGCTAATTGTTAAAACAAACATAGGAAAGTTAAAGGCATAAAACACTCAGAAAGGAAACTTTTTCGCCGCAAAACCGATGGGGTGGGACCATGGGGGAAAATCTCTGTTACAGCGTCTTTTGTCCAGCTGTCTCTCAGTTTCGTGACCACGGTATTCTGTCCAAAGCCAAATCACTGGAGCTAGTTCGTGTTTTAAGAATTCCGGACGAGCTGGCACAGGGAGCGCAGTACAATCCCGGGTGGGGAAGCCAGGCTGGCCGTGGCAGGACGCTCTGCTGCTGCTGCTGCTGCTGCCACTCTCGCGCTACCTAGGTGGCCTAGGTGGCCACAGCTGTAACATTTTAAAGCCTTCTGATTCAGTGAGTCCTAAGCTATTTACCTCCAATTCAGAGAGAGGGAACGAGTTCCTCTGCTTAACTTTGGTTCCCTTTTTCCGGAAAACCATTATCTCAATGGCCCACAAATGCAATTACGCAAACGCAGTGGTTTATCCCAGGATTATAAACTCTAGCTTCATCGCGATTGCTGTTCCAAGCCCGCTCTAGTGAGTGGGCCCTCTGCCCGGCATCACTCAGACCTGTAGCTCTCTAGGAGCACATGGAGAAAAAAACTCCTTACCTCTCAAAGATGGAGAAGGGAGAGTTCAATGTTCTTCAGCTCGTGGCTGAAATGTACATCAAGGGATCACCAGATGTTGCACTATATTAGGAACAACGAGAAGCACAACACTGACTCTCCCAGCTGCACTGTCCAAGAGAACAAGTTTTATTATCCTTATTCTTCTTTTTATAGACAGATTTGAGAAGGTCTGAGAGGTAAAACTCTCATTCGTCATTAATGAAAGAACTTGGCCAGGAGACAAGACTCCTGTTTTATGCCTTTATTAAGAGTCAGCTCTTGAGGTGGAGGGTGGGGGGCAGAGAAGTTGCTGGCTCCACAGCTGTTCCCACACCGGCAGCTCCAAGGAAGAGCCACAATTCAGCCTTGCAGCACACACTGCAAAGCTAAGGCTTACCATCCTCATGAAAGTAGCCAGAAGGCCCATTGTTCTGGTTTGTTGTCTAGGGTGGTCAGTCCTTTCCAGTCCTCTTGAGGTCATAGTGATGCAGGAAAATTTCAAAAATTTCTGAAAGTTTCTAAGCAGGCTTAGGTGATGTAGGAAGATGTTCTTTCATCATAGCTTGCTAGAATGTGTTTCTTTGTCTTTTTATTCCTCTGTTAGCTCATTGTTTTGGTGTCTTGCATGCCTTAGTTTGCATATTACTCGGTTGCACAGCTTCCATGGGAGTTGCTTTGTTACATAGTAGCAGGGAAGAAAGGGATAGAGGAATGTCTCATAAGAACTCTTAAAACACTTCAAAAACTGGTAAGTAATTAACATTACTAATAACTATTGGAGTAAACAAGGGGTACAACAAACAAGGTTTACAAATGGGATAAGAACATTAACTGTACATAATTAAACACAGTATTTTAACCAGGGTGGATTTCTTGAGAGATTTTATTCATGACAATTAAAGTTACACATCACTATCATTGGTCAAGTGGAACACCACCCCTTGACTGTTTCTTACAAATAAACAAGAAGGATCCTAAAAAAACCCTGCAAAGATTGCTGTCTTTTTCCAAGGACTGTTTGTATTTTTCCTTATGCTTTCTCAGGCCAGAGTGAGAAGTTTGTGTGACTTAGTGTTCCCTGCTTGCTTTTTGCATTTAGCATCCACAGGAGCACATGAAATTTTCAGACACATGACTGAATGAAACTGGGTCTCAACCAAGCTGCACCAAAACTGAAATGAACCTCAGTTCCACTTTACAAATCAGCACATGGGATTGAATTACTGTTATCAAAGTTAAATATGACACGTAGACCACAGAACACAACTTGTTCTCAAGTGAGAGAGTAAGGGACTCAGAAACAGCACTTCCTCTCTGACCTAGTTCAGTTCCTTTAAGAGGCACTGCAGCAAGTCAAATTTTCATTTTCAGTGCCTTAAATCTATGATTGGAACAAACAAAAAAAAAAAAAAAAAAAAAAAGAAGCTTCACCAACAAGCATCAGGCAAATTTAAACATATGTTGCTTGCTTGCCTGTTGCCACAGATTCAGTAAATATTACCAAGCCTATCCAGTAATGAGATGTTCCCATTTACACAAGACACGGTTCTGAATTTGCACTAGTTATTCATCTCAGCAAAGGCTGAGGACTTTTTGTCCTAAAATGTCCAACATCTGCCCTTCTGTTCAAGAAGGGAGGTACTAGTGTTCAAGTATGTCAAATGCCTTTCCAGGTATACTCCAAAAGCCTATGGTAAATGTGGCAACTGAGATTATAGAGGATATTTTAAAAAGATAAGGCTTCAGCATCTAAACCGGGGAGAGGCAGGGAGGATGAAAGGGAGGATAGCAGAGAGGTCTCCAAGACAAAACACTTGTCAGTACAGGAAGATTTGTCTGGGGTATAGTTTATTCATACTTACTTTGTCTTGGATACATCTTTCACTCAAAGACAGCTAGCACATTATCTTTGGGAACTCCCATTTCAAACTAAATTAAACTTCATTTTCAGAACAGTCTTCTGTTCTTATCTTCTTCCTTACCCAAGATTACGAAATAAAATATGTCTTCACCAAGAACAAATTGCAGAATAAATAAAGCATAAGAAGACAGAAACTAACTACTGCTTTTTATTTATACTGAAGTATATGTACCATATAATGTGATAGGAAACTGCATTTCTGGTTCTTACACTACACCTGCAGCATTTAAGAAAACATGACTTTCTTCTTGTTCTCTAGCTGCAATATAAATATTGATTCTGGAATACAGAAACTCACATGGATTACAGCTTCCCTCCTATAAGAAGCAACAGGCCCAGACAGAGAAGTGTTTACTAGCTCTACAAACAAAGCATCATCACAGGATGCCTCTTCATTCTACCTTCTTTTTCTCTGCATTTTCTTTGACCCCAGCTTCCCACTGCCAAACACTTTTTGTACCAAAATCAAAAGGCCCACTTCTTGTCTCATAACTGTTACTGTGATGGTCATCAGCCATAAACTCTGTGAGCTATATAATCTGGTAGAGAGCAAACACAGCTCCTTTAGGCAAAGATTTAATGCTTGTTTGTACAAGGTATACAAATCCTGCACTTTAGTATAGAAGTGTTCAGAAATGTTAACAGGTAAAGAAAGAGGCCAAGATATGTTGGGACTCAGCATTCTTACTGTGGTTTCTCAATCCCTGTGGGATTAGTACAGTGTGAGTACCAGTCAGGTGCAGCATATTCGGCTGGAGGGGACTTCATTACCACAGGAATGTAGTGCTTCAGTACGTCAGGAGAAAAAAAAACAAAAGCCAGTACTTTTCTGACTTCTTATCTAGTTGCAAAAGCACTACTTTTGTTTTCAGATTGCTGTTCTGTCAGGAAGAAAATAATTTCCTTATTTTTTCATGAGTTTATTTCAAAAGTCCAGAGGATCCCTTCTGTAGCATCTACAAGCACTTTATACCGCACTCAAGCAAAGCCAAAGAAAACAAAGGAAAACCAAAGAAGCCACACAGATGCTCATCAGGTAGGCCTCCTTGCTTTGCCAGCCTCATGTAGGCTGAATGTCTCTTTGATCCACTTCCCATGGCACCCAGACAGTGGCATTTCATGGGGAGCTCTTGAAAGGTCACTTAGACCCAGAATCTGGGAAGGAAGTAGGCTCTTCTCTGGTTGTTTCAGTGGCATAGAGTATTGCTGTCATGAAATAATAGAAAAGAAAGTATTTATGGTAAAAGTTAACTGCTAGCATCCCTTTTTCAGGCAACTTAACAAATTGAACACACCTGGAACATGAATGAGGTGCTACATTTCATCGTAGAGACAAAAGACCAGGCTTGCTTATTCTAGGGGAAGCACATGCAATTCCTAGAGAATCAGATGCAAAACACTTTTGTTTCAGTTTTGAGACAGCATGTAAGTTTTTCCATAAAGTGTTCTCATACAGAGGATTGTGCCTCTTCATTCAGAAAACTAGTTCCAAGGACAAATTTACTAGGAAGAAGAGGTGGACAGCTTATTCTATAAGCACCTGGAGAATGTTTCAGAATCTCCAGCCCTTGTTCTTGTAGGTGATTTTAACCTACCAGACATCTGCTAGGTACTTAATACAGCAGAAAAGAGGCAATCCAGGAAGTTTTTTAAATGTGTGGAGGTCAACTTTTTGTCGCAGATGGTGAGTGAGCCCACCAGGGGAGGGACTATGTTAAATCTGTTGTTTGCAAATAGAGATGGGCTGGTGGGAGATGTGGTAGTTAGAGGCAGCTTGGGACATAGAGATCATGAAATTATAGAGTTCTCAATATTTGGTGATATTAGGAGAAACATCAATAAAACTTCTACATTGGACTTCCGGAGGGCAGAATTTGGCCTATTTAGGAGACTTATTCAGAGAGTTTCTTGGGAAGCAGCCTTTAAAAGCAAAGGAATACAGGAAAGGTGGGCATGCTTCAAAACAGAATCTTGAGGGTACAGGAACAGACTGGCCCTGTGTGCAGAAAGATGAGTTGCCAGGGCAAACATCCAGCCTGGATGGGCAATGAGGCTTTGAAGGAACTTAAGAATAAAAAGAGGATGTATCAACTTTGGAAGGAGGGTCAGGTCTCTCAGGAACTATTTAAGGGGGTTGCTAGTGCATGTAGGAAAAAAAACTAGAGAGGCCAAAGCTCAGTTTGAACTTAATTTGGCAATTTTGTAAAGGATAATAAAAAATGTTTTATAGACATATTAATGGTAAAAGGAAGGGTAAGATCAGCCTTTGTTCCTTATTGGATAAGGGAGGGAACTTAGTAACTGCAGATGAGGAGAAGGCAGAGGTGCTTAACACCTTCTTTGCCTCAGTCTTTAGTGGGAAGACAGCTTCTCCTCTGGACAACTGTCCTCCTGGGCTGGTTGATGGTGTCAAGGAGCAGAATGGTCCCCCTGTTATCCAGGAGGAGGCAGTCAGAGAACTGCTGAGCTGCTTGGATGTTTATAAATCTATGGGAACAGATGGGATCCACCCTGGGGTGATGAGAGGGCTGGCAGATGAGCTTTCAAAGACATTCTCCATCATTTACCAACAGTCCTGGCTCACTGGTGAGGTTCCAGATGACTGGAAGCTGGTCAATGTGACACTCATTCACAAAAAAGATTGAGAAGGAGGATCCTGCTGATTATAGGCCAGTCGGCCTGCCCTCAGTACCTGGTAAGGTAATGGAGCAGTTTATACTGGGTGTCATCATGCAGTATTTACAGGATGGCCAGGGTATCAGACCCAACCAGCATGGGTTTAGGAGGGTAGGTCGTGTTTGGCCAACCTGATCTTTTATGACCAGGTGACCCGCTGGAGGATGCAGAAAGGCTGTGGATGTTTTCTGTTTGGACTTCAGCAAGGCCTTTGACACTGTCTCCCACACCATACTCCTGGAAAAGCTGGCAGCCCTCAGTTTGGACAGGAGCACTCTTTGCTGGGTTAAGAACTGGCTGGGTGGCCAGGCCCATAGAGTGGTAGTGAACAGTGCTGCATCCAGCTGGCAGCCAGTCACCAGTGGTGTCCCTCGGGGGTCTGTGCTGGGGCCTGTCCTGTTCAATATTTTTATTGACGACATGGGTGAGGGTATCGAGTCTTTTCTTTAGTAAATTTGCAGATGACACTAAGCTGGGAGTGTGTGTCAATCTGTTGGAAGGTAGAATGGCTCTGTAGAGAGACTTGGAATGATTGGATGGATGGGCAGAATCCAATGGGATGAAGTTTAATAAGTCCAAGTGCCAAGTCCTGCATTTTGGCCACAATAACCTCCTGCAACATTATAGGCTGGGGACAGTGTGGCTGTGTTATGTTGCACTATATGTTAAACTAAATGGTTTTTCCCAGTTGCTCTCCTCCTGGCTCTATGGTGTGTTGGATCCTTCCCCCTCACCCCTCCCCTTCGGTTTCACCCCATTGGCTGTAACCTGCCTTCCCCTCCCCCCTTTTCCTCATTTTAAAAATCCCCACAATTCCTCCTTCGGTCTCTTTTTTCCCTGGAGCAGTTCCAGAATTAACTGAGGGACAACATCCTGGGAAGAGAGAGCCTCCTTTGTCTTTTACCTTTGTCCTTGCCATACCCCTCCCACCCCCAGTGGGCTGGAGCTAGTCGGATGATTTTCCAAGGGTGGGAGCAAAGGGATTATGGCATGGCTGGGGACAGTGCCCAGGCAGAAAGGGACCTGGGGGTACTGGTCAACAGCCATCTGAACATGAGCCAGTGTGCTCGGGTGGCCAAGAAGATCCTTCCCAGGATCAGGAATAGTGTGGCCAGCAGGAGCAGGGAGGTCATTCTTCCCCTGTACTCGGCACTGGTGAGGCCAGACCTGAGTGCTGTGTCCAGTTCTGGGCCCCTCAGTTTAGGAAGGACATTGAAAACATTCAAGCACATCCAGAGGAGGCTACAAGGCTGGTGAGGGGCTTGGAATGCAAGCCCAATGAAAAACAACTGAGTGAGCTGGGGTTTAGGGAGAAAAGGAGACTCAGATGTGACCTTATCACTCTCTACAATTTCCGAACAGATGGTTGTAAGCAGGTGAGGGTCAGTCTCTTTCTCCAAGCAACAACTGACAGAACGAGAGAACACAGTCTCAAGCTGTGCCAAGGGAAATATAGGTTGGATATTAGGAAAAAGTTTTTTACAGAAAGGGTGATAAAGTATTGGAATGGTTTGACCAGGGAGGTGGTGGAGTCACCATCTCTGGATTTGTTTAAAAAAAGAATGGATGTGGCACTAGGTGGCATGATCTAGTTGAGGTGTTAGGGCTGGATTGGACTTCTTGAGGGTCTCTTCCAACCTAATCATTCTGTGATTCTGTGATCAAAAGCAGTGACAGGCACATGAGACAGCAAAAAACACTGCAGCCTTTGGCTTTCTGTCCTTCACATGCACTGACTAAAAGCAAAGACAGTAGCTGTCCATTGGCAGGTCTTTATTTGTAAAACAACCAAACCCGATCCCCAAATAAAAAAATTAATAAAAAACACCCTACCTCTCCATACATTTTAAAGCTTCTAGTGAGCAAAAGAAAATAAAAACAAATCCTTCAAAATGGGAAAATGGACAGCAGATAAATAAGAAAAAGCTAATACAAGGTAGTGTGCCATAGAAAATGCAAGAGGCACTTACTGGTATGACTCCAGCTGCAGCTGATGTCATTCCGTCGGTGTAAAGGCACCACTTCCAGGCAGCAGCTCGGTGAGGAGCTCCAGGCACACACACACGAGCTGGCTGTGCCGAAACTCAACCCCAAGAAACAACCCAAAGTGCTGCCTCTCCCCGGGGTCAGGGGCGCAGAGGCACCAGCGGGCACTTGCTGCCCCCTCCTGGGCGGGTTCTTCCCCGGCGCTCTCCCGTTGACGATGCTCGGGGTCCTCATTGCCCCCTGCAGCTCAGAGACTGGAGGGCGATTCACCGGATAGTGACCTGCAACCCCCAGGGAATAGGCGGGACAGGGCCCGAAGAGGAGATGTGGCCGGAGCCAAATCGCGCCGGGGGCGGAGTGAGACCGGCCCACGGTACCTCTCTCCCTCCCTCTTTCCTCTGAGGAGCTTGGAGTTTGGCGCGGTCCTGCAGTGCCAGTTGCAGAAGGGGTGCAGAGCGCAGCGAGTGTGGCCCCCAGCTCTGAAAGCGGCTACAGCCGTGCCGGGACGCCTTACTCCCTCCCACTGACTGCCCGTCCGGACCTTGCTGCTACTGGTAAACTCCATCTCAACTGAAAGCAGGGTAAAGTCCATCCTTTATTCCATGGCATTTACCATTCTGTACTATTTAATCTTTGCCTTCTAGCCGGTCCATATACTGAAAGCCTGCTGGTACCCTTTTGGGTCCTTGAAATACCCTCTTCTGAGATTTTCTTTGTTTTCCTGGAGCTGGCAAGCCATTTTATCCACCAATGCTGCTTCTTCATCTTTCCATGTCCGGGACCTGGAGAACATGGAATGATGATGGGATGTACTGGGATGGTGAGACTGGGAGAATGTGGAGGGATGGAGAGACATGAAGAAAATGGTGGGGTGATGGAACAGGGAAGATATAATGGGACATGGAGGAGGTGGAGGGCCAGAGGGGTGGTGGAATGGGGGGATGATGAGTTATGAAGATGCTGGGATGTGGAGAGGATGGACAGATAGTGGGACATGAGATTGTGGGATGTATAGGGACATAGAGGAAATGGAGTGGTAGAGAACATATAGGGATGGTGGCATACGGTGGGACAATAAGCCATGGAGGAGATGGAGGGACAATGAGAAATGGAGGGTAACAAGTTTGAGGTGACAGGACTGTTGGGCCAAGGGGTGGTGGAACAATCGATGGACAGGCCAGACAAGTGAAAGCATTTGGAACAGAAGGACAATGGGACATGTCAGGAAATGGAACATGGTGGGTAGTGGGACAGAGCAGTTGGTGGCTAGGGGAACACTGAGGCCAGGACCAGCAGAAGCTGCAAGCTCAGGAACCAGGAGGTCCCTAAAGGGCTCACCCAGGCTTTGTGCCACATGTGGAGGTAACAAATGCTGGCCCTCACCTCCTGGGTACCCTCCCTTTCCAGTCCTGTATGTGCCTCCCAGCACATCTCTTCCCACAAATAGACATGTATTGGTGCGAGGAAGGCTGAGATACCCTGTGCGTCAGTTTGAGGTCAAAATAGTCCCCATGGGTAAAATCATATTGTGGGGTGGGTTGCAACA